CAAGCAGCACAGGGACAGAGGGATGCAGAGAAGATGACATTCAGCCAGAGGTGAACCAACAGATCTTGGTAACTTCCTAACCACAAGGGAGGACAAGGAAGCAACAAGGGCAGCAGCTTTTGTTTTTCAGGACTGAGTAGTGAAAAGTTTCCATTCCTAACAGAGCTTGGATTGTAAAAGCAAGAAGCAGGATGAGATGGTTAATCAATGACAAGGGCTTTGGAACCAGAAAACGCAGTTTTTTTGCAAAGTCTCATGAGCGGTTTGGATTTTATTTAAGATAACAGAGAACTACCGAAGGGAAATTTGCTGGGATGGGATGAGAAGACTTGATCTGGCCAGTAGGCTGAGCTCCAAAAACCAGAAGAATGTAAGAGACTGATGATGTAGGAAAGAGGTGGAGAAATTTATGAAATAGTATTTTTAGGGAGAAGAAGAGGAGGTGGAATCCAAAGTACATACAGGAGGGTTAGTCATTGGAAGGCTTTATGCTGAGTTATTGAAAATTTGAATTGAGGTCTCTGATCACATGTGGGCCTCAAGGAGATTAATCCAGCATCAGTGGGTAAAAGAGATTACTGAAGACTGAGGGAAGAAAATAATGACTGAGGAGACTTTAAGTAAGTCTGCTTTTCAGAGTGGCTGAGGAGAGTAGTTAAAAAACCCAACTACAATGAGGAATGAGAAGAAAGCCAAATGGAGTAGGTAAGCAGCCTCTGGAACAACTGAACTTGAACATTCTTCTCTTGAAATGCTATCAGCTGGTTGAGCTGGTGCTTCTTCAGTAATGCTCAGTGGTATCCACAGAGGGGGTGACAATTGTGAGAAACCATTCCAAGGAGGTTTTGAGTCCAGCACACAAGCCAAGTCAAGATCATCTAATTCCCACAAGATCACTTTCTCTTTCATATATAGCCATCACCTTTTCACTGTTTCTTACCTTAGTTTATAATCTTACTAGAGGCCCAGTGCACAAAAATTTGTGCACTCGGGGGGGGGGGGTCCCTCAGCCCGGCCTGTGCCCTCTCGCAGTCTGGGACCCCTCAGGGAATGTCCACCTGCTGGGTTAGGCCCGCTCCCCAGAAAATCGGGCCTAAGCTGGCAGTCAGACATCCCTCTGGCAGCCCAGGAGCCCTCAGGGGATGTCCACTTGCCATCAGGGACCAGGCCTAAGCTGCAGTCGGACATCCTTAGTGCTGCTGAGGAGGCGGGAGAAGCTACCACCATCACTGCTGTGCTGGCAGCCATCAGCCTGGCTTGTGGCTGAGCAGAGCTCCTCCTGTGGGAGTGCATTGATCACCAGGGGGCAGCTCCTGCATTGAGCATCTGCTCCCTGGTGGTCAGTGTGTGTCATAGTGACCAGTCATTCCCAGTCACTCTGCTGTTAGGGTCAATTTGCATATTACCCTTTTATTATATGCCTGGTGCATGGGTGGGGGCTGGCTGGTTTGCCCTGAAGGGTGTCCCGGATCAGGGTGGGGGTACCCGCTGGGGTGCCTGGCCAGCCTGGGTGAGGGGCTGAGTGCCATTTTCAGGTTGGCCACACCCCATTCAGGGTGGGGGGTCCTTCTGGGGTGCCTGGTCAGTCTGGGTGAGGGGCTGATGGCTGTTTGTAGTCTGGCCAAGCCCCCCAGTGGGGACCCTCACCCCGTGAAGGTGGGTGTGGCCATCCTGGGTGAGGGGCTGATGGCTGTTTGCAGGCTGGCCACAGCCCCCAGCCACCCAAGCTCCCAGTGGAGGCTGGCTGGAAGCAGGTATCTGGGGATTTATTTAGCTTCTATACTTGAAACTTTGTTGCCTTTTGAGGAGGCCACAGCCAGCCAGAGCAGGTGGGAAGCTTTGCTTCCTCCAATGACGGGGCAACCAAGCCTCCAGCTTGCTCCAGCTCCGTGGCTGCCGGCTGCCATCTTGGTTGGGTTAATTTGCATATAGTCACTCTGATTGGCTGGTGGGCGTGGCTTGGGCATAGCAAAGGTATGGTCAATTAGCATCTTTGTCTTTTATTAGTGTAGATTGTTGCTTGTCCTGACTTTACAAGTCTCCAAACCTGCATTCCCAACCCCCGGCCCGCCCCATCTCCTGCCTTCAAACCTGTATTTTATACTGTTGCAGATTACTCTGCCAGAACCCTGCTTTTCTCAGAAACTTTCAATGGCTTCCCACAGTTTACATTTCCTGTCTTGGCATTCAGAAACCTCCCCAATGACCTGCCTGGAATTCCCTCTCTCAGCACACACTATAGCCAAAATGCAACACTCCTCCAAGCAGCCTCCTCCGGGGCCTGTGGATCCTGATGGGCATCAAATGACTGGAATTATGTGCAAAATTTCATGTATGGTTGGGTATCTGCATTTGGTTGAAACAGTTCCCATTTGCTTTTGTTTCCCCCAATGGTCTAACATACAAAAGGTAAAATTTTAAAAGTATCCAGGTTGAGGCTTCTTGGGTTCAGCCAACCTAAAATATCTGCTAAAGATTAAAGGAAGATTGTGCATTGAATCATTAAAAAATTATTTTTAAATCAATATGTGAGTTACTTAAGCTTGATGTTAAATTTGCTCTCATATTTGGCACTTGATAATGATTTGTTAAATAAGTAAATGAATGAGGGCATTTGACACAGCTCATGAAA